ATATAAGGAAAAAAAACTGGTAACCATGAGGCTGTACAGGGACTGGCCACCCTGGAGTGCTACATTTAGGAGAGCCCCAGTCCAGGTGCCATCCACTCCTCCCACCCAAAGCATGAGCTGTTTATTTTAGGGCAGTTTGGGAAAATTCACTGCTGCCACAGTGTGTTTCTCTTCATATTCCCTGGATACCTCCCAGTCTTGTTTAGACACTCCACCTCCTCCTCTTTACAATCCCCAAGGATAAACACAGTCCCTTCCTTATCCTCAGAGGAAGCCAACACTCCTTGGCAGCATTTGAGAGATGAGTTACACAATAAGTATCTTTGACTAGAGCAGCATTTAGTGATTCTCTTAAACTCACAACAGCCACCACATTTCAGCACTAAAACGCAGCCATGACTCCTCTTGGCTACATCACCAAGGCTTCCCTTTCCAGCTGGGATTTGTTCTCCTCCTCAGATCAATCAGAACAGGCCCTATTACTGGTTATTGCAGCACACACTGCACACTTCAACAAGAATTTTATTCATTTACTACCAGTTTCTCTAGTGTGTCTTACACCTCTTCAGTAGAATTTTGTTGTTTCTTTTCCAGTCTCACTGGTCCAGACTCAAACCTTACAATCCTTCACATAAAACCACAGGACTGTGACCTGTTTCAGCTCCTGGAGCTGCCCTGAAGAGGAGAAGAATGAAAATCCCTGGAATCACCAGATCAGTGTCATTTACCTGGCTACAAAGCTGGCAGTCTTGTCCACAATATTCCTGACCTCTGGAGGAGGGTAAATAATTCCCACCACGGGCTTGGCTGGTGCTGCTTCCTCTTTAGGCTCCTCTTCTGGCTGTAATAAAAATTATTTCATTACAAAAGGTGAAGGGGTGTCAGAATTAGGCGTTCCAAACAGCAATCCCAAGGGAACACAGGGCCATTTATCCATCCTCCTCCTCCTCAGCCTCCCAGGCACTGAATTCTTCCTGACACAAGATCTGGCTGAACAGCCCGAATCATCCATCCTACTAATTAATTCCTTGGTTTTTCAGGGTGGGAGACATGTGTCTGCCTGTCAGGGACACTCACTGCAGGGACAGGGACAGGAGGACAACAAGGGAGGCCCCCCCATGGAAATCAAAACAATTCCTCAGGGCATTTTTACCATCTCAGCCTCAACCCTGAGTACCTTAGCAAATATTTAAAGGGGCTCTAATAACACGTCCTGGAATATCTCAGCATTCCTAACCAGGTGTGGAAGTTCTGAATATTCCTAGAGGTGTGTGGGACTACGAGGAAGTAAAACCCGAGTGATTAAGTCCACGTTAAATAAAACACAGTTTTTAATCCTACTGTGGTTGCATCAGAAGCAGTTTCATAGAGAAAAGCTCTGCAGGGTGTTTTTCTCACTGATATTACAGGAGGATCCAAACTAAAATCCCAGAACCCTCCCTGTGGATGGCTTTCTATTCCAGTAAAACCAGAGCCTGCAGGATACTAAAGAATGTTGCTCCTTTCCTCACCAAGCACCTTCCCAAGAAAAGCTGTGATAAGTCAGGACAGGTCTATGGGAAACTTTTCTAATCCCAACAGGGACAGTCAGGGAAAACTTAAAATCCCAGTAAAGCTCCCAGCTCCGCCAAATCTATGGGGACTCCAAGGGGAAAAACAATCCCAAGTCAAACTGATCCCTGGGAGTATCCAGGGCCAGGCTGGATGGGGCTTGGAGCAACCTGGGATAGCAGAAGCTGTCCCTGCCCATGGCAGGGTGTGGGACTGGATGGGCTTTAATGTCCCTTCCCACTCAAACCATTCCATGATTCCATGAAATATGACCTTAATAAAAGTGTTTAAAGAGAAGGACACCATGAATATTTTTAGTTTTCATTCCCACTCCCCCAGAACATGATCCTGAGGAACTGAAGGATCAGGCAGCACCACACTTAAGATGCTGAGTTGCCTTGGTAACGTCTGTGCATGAAACTCATGGGGTTTTTTTGGGGGGAAGCCACAATTTTCCTCCTAAATGTGTTAATACACCCAATCACCCAAGGTTTTCAGTGGGATCAGCTCCCTCTCCATCTCCACGAGGGCTGATGCTGCTGTGTGAGGGTCGGGACAGCAGCTCCAGCTGCATGGGAGCTGAATTCCCATTTCAGGGAAGGTGGGAAGAATATGAATAAGGACAAGACAGAAAGGATCCAGGAGACTACTGGGACACACAGGAATGCCATGCTCCCTTGGACATTTAATCCTTCCATGGGCTGCTCCCAGAGCTCCCGGTGACCCTCCACACCCATCACAATCACAGCCCTGGGGTGCTGCCAGAAGAGAGCTCAGCACCCACCCGGCTCAGCAGGATGGAGCTGCCTAGTGAGGAATCCTGGAGTGCTTTGGGTTGGAAGGGACTTTAAAGCCCATCTCATCCACCTCCTGCCCATCTCATCC